TATGTATGTATGTATGTATGTATGTATGTATGTATGTATGTATGTATCTGTGTGTGTGACACCCTTGGAATCAAAGGGGGGCATTTGGTCTTTTATGCAGGGGAGTGCGGCATGATTGCGGCAACGAAGCTACCACATGCTCCCACAATCAGGGGGTACCAAGTCTGATCAGCTCGGCGTGCCTGCTGTCTTACCTACTTGGTCCCTGTTGCTTTAACTTGAACAATTTATTCCAGTCTTTCAGCGGTTCACCGCTGGCAGACGTCGGCAAACACGCAGTTGACTTTTATCGAACTCGGAGGACGTTGAAGCTTATGATATTTTCGAGACTTTCTTCGAGATTTTCGAATATATATTTGTAGATATTCAGACCACCTTACTTAACCCTGTCCTGGTTTCTTAGGTTTTTACTTAGGCTGGCGTGTGGCAAGACGCAAATCAGTACCGTACGCATTTGCCGGGTGTGTTCATGCCTTGTCTTGAACAAAGATACCACAAACAGGGTGACCTTGCAACAGCCCTGACAGCCTGCTGTCGACGGCGCTCCTTTGCAAACTGCAGCAGTGCCTTCTGCTTGCCAGTATTAGACGTTGTCTTTGCGTCCTGCATGGAGTCCTTCATCCGTTGACTCACCTGCGATGCGAACAAGTTGAATTGAGCGAGGCGAGGGTGTTGAAAAAGGGGTGGGTGCCCACGACCAGCCACAGGTTCATCAGATTTCATCAGTACATTTCTCCGAGCTTTCTAAAAGGGGACCTGAATAATTATCTTGGAAACGTACTGATGTGTGAGGCAACCAAGCATAAGAACCGAAAGTCCCACCTTTCCAGCTCAGGACCTAAAGTGAACCAGGTTCCTGGTTCCCCAAATAATCATGGTGACATGGGTTGCGACATTGTGGAGCTGACCAAAAATACGAACGTTGTTTATACTTACTGGCGTAATTGACTCACTCCGCGAAACATGGATGGACAAAAGGTGAGATGTGTTTCCATGTTTGCCTCAGCCAAACAACAAACCCCACTACCCTGCGGATTTTAAGGTATATTTATAGCGTAGTCACTCCAAAATCTCAAAACACTTCGGCAAACCTGATCAAGTTTCAGTGCCAACATCATCCTACGTGCAAGAAGCATCCAATCGCCGGTTTTGAGAGACAACAATTTCTTTATGAGCCGTCCGTTCACATGCCTGCACTGCAGGAAAAGAGTCGTGCATCCACACATTGGAAGTCAGTGAAATGTGCTTGGTTGGAAAATTCAGCCCTCATTCAGAGACAAATCTAAAGCAGGTGTCCCCCTAGGCCCTAGCATCTCAAAAAAAAAACAACCGAACTGCGCCTCTGGAAAACAGTTGTGTTTCTGGTAGTAATGATAAAGCTCCAACACGCCCACCTTCTTCAATTCGGAAAGGGCGATCACGGGTTTTGGAGGGTCAGTCAGTGCAAATTTGCAACTGGAAGAAACCAAACGCAAACCCAAGCTGGCCTTGTCGCATGATGCCTGGTAGCGATCTTTGAGAGTATCCTGCAACGTACCCCACTTGCCTCGCGGAGGCAAAGGTCCGCGTAGCTGTTTGCTGGACAATGATCTCACAACGATTTCGAGTGCCTATAGTTGGAGGCAACAATTCCTGTACACCGTTTTGCGCATTTACTGTAAGCTTTCTGCGTCCAAAGGTGTACATGGCAATGAACATCTACTGTAAAACGATTGCTGTTGTCGTCGCAATACAATATATTACATACAAATACAGATACATACACAGATTTTTGGTTGTCGGAGGCTTGCTGGCTTGCTCGCTTGCCTTTTTGTATTTCCTATATATAACTTCATTAAATAAAATTGAGGTCTCTTTTGCCCAAACCCAGCCTAGCTCTTGAAACTTCTGCAGCAGGAGCTTTGGATTCATGCCAGACTCTTTCGAGAGTTCTGCTTCGATGGATTCTAACGCTTTCTTCACACCCACTTTCGAGATGGAATCGGTAAAGTTCTTCTTCTCGTAGGAGAGCTCCGGAACGCTTAAGAAAGCTTCCTTGCAGTAGGTGAATCAAACTCTCCAATTTGAGGCTTCACAGTAGAACTTTCCCAGAACCCTGCAAGTCTTCATCGTGGTTTGATGAACCTGCGGTCTACTTGCATAAGTGTGCTTGAGTAGCAGCAATCTTTTACCAACTGGCAAGCTGTGGGTTTGTAAAAAAATGCACACGCTCGCCATGATTTCCCCATTCATGTCCAATTGTCCCCGAGAGACACCCAACCCAACCCAGAAGTGCGGTGTAGTGGGATTGTATAGAAAAGCTACGTGTCCATATATATATATATGATTATAAATGAATATAGTTGTATAAGCAAATATGACAAATCACCACCAGGGTCCTGGGCCACGTCGCCACTTTCTGCCAACTTTAGCAAACCAGCAAGGCGAGCTTCGACATCTCCTCGAGGTGGCACTCTTGTGCTCTGCATCTTTCAAGGGAAGGCGATGCACTTGGGCATCCAATCATTTGGCTAGCTCTGACAAGGCACAAGGGAGCAACTCTATTTCTGTTCCAATTATGTCTGCCAACCCCAGACTCGAAATGCATGTCAACTGTGACTGAGGTTATCCTATTTTCAGTGAAGTTGCATGCTCCAAGGTTGGTGATGTGGAATCACATGTTTCGTTTTCTCTCAAGGTCTACGCATCAGTCCTTCAGCTGCGAGTGCCTTCTGGCAAGCTTCTTCAAGCTTTTCTCTGAACTTCTCCACAATTGTCCTAAGCTTGGCTGATGCTAACGGGACACGCTGCAAAGCTGCCCATAAGTTTCTGATACTGCGGGACACATTGCAAAGCCATCCTAACTTTCCCTCAACATGCAAAGGTAATGCAATCTGCAACTTGGATGCCTTGGCGGAAAACCTAGAAATGGCAATCGTCGTGCTTGCATCAAACCCTAGTCAGCCTCTCGGTCTGTACACACTCTTGCACCAACAGTGTTGGCCAACCACTGCACCAACAATTCTCAGTCACCAAAAAGGCAAATGGCAACTTCATATACTGCTCATGTTTCTTGTGACTTGTGATTCCCAGTCATAGCTCCTCTCAGCCAAGATCGTCTCTTGATCCGTGTCTCCCTGGCCAAGCTTCAGCAGCCGTTGGCGGTAGGCCTCTAAGCTGGCCACCGATTCTAGCAATGGCCCTAAGTCCTTCAGCACCGTCACCACCTGGGATACTGGCCACGAGGGGGCACACACAAAAAGAATACGAGGGGGACAAACTTGGGCGACACGGCGTTTTGGTAGGCCAACGACAGATCACACAGGGAGACAAGTAGGGAGAGAAGCTAGAAAGACAGGGTGGCAGCAGTTGGACATGTTCATTTATCAGTCACCCACCCATTCGCTCAGTCGAGATGCCACTTTGGGATTCATTCCCGAGGTCTTCTGCACTTCTCCCATGGCCTCTTCGAAGAGTCCCACCACTTTATGGGCCTGGCGCATGATTTGAAGATCATCCTTGGGCCTCCAATAATGTTCAAGGATTGTGAACATCCATCACAATGTCTGAAGTATCCTGAATCCATGGGGATGCAGCATATTGGTAAGCATGGGGATGCAGCATATTGGTAAGCAAATGTGCTTGGCAGGATACGTTCTCCTCACAGACTGGGCTCACCCCAGATTGGTGACCAGGATAGGTTCTTGTGATGAAGCCACTTGGTACGATTGTTCAGAACAGGCTGATACGGATATGCCTACGCATCAATGTCTGCTCGTCATACTGGCTAGTGACCACTATCCATGAAATCCAAATAAACCGAACAGGAGCTGCCTTCGTGAGCCTGGGGAGCATGGGCTCGTCCCTCCATCCATCGGCAACTATCGCCAGGTCTAAGACAGCAGAGCCCTTGGCACGGCCCTCCTGCCGTGGGACCGACGGACAGCGAATGGGATTTGGCGGCAACCCATGGCCCCAACCGAGGCTGTTGAGGGCATGCCTTGAGGAAGCGCTACCAAATCTTGTATTGTTCGATGGCGGACTTTCCAACAAACGCGCAGACGAAGTGGGAGTTTCTGTAGGAAGTGGGATGGGCAATTTCATGAACCATGCAGCCAAAGAACTGGGTATTCATGCAGTGGGTTGTGATCAGTCGCCCACCAAGCGCCTCCAGGAGGCGTGCAAGGAAGGTCTCTTCCAAGCTTTGGGCCAATTGGGAGATCTCCTCACCCAGCTGCGCAGACAAGGCTTCATCCTGGATGGCGCCCGGTGGTTCAATCATGTTCAAATCAGATGGGCCACAAATTATGGCCGGATTCCAGATGATAGGTTCGTGGCTAGGGCGATGAGTGACGAGTGACCATAAGTGGTTGTCTGTATTCAAAACAATGACACCACTCAGTGAACTAGGAGCAAGGACGCTACTAGTAACTTCTGGCCTTACTACTAGGAACAAGAAGCTACTAGGAACAAAGGGCATCGCTACTAGAGGCAAGGACGCAGTTCAGTCTACTCCACGGAGCCTCAGCGGGCGCTTCGACACGCCAGTCAAACCCTTCGCGGGGCCATCAGTCAGTCAAGCGTCCTTGCGACACTTCTCGAGGATGTCCAGCTCTTTGCCCAGTTGGGTGAGATCCGTCGTATTCCTCGCGGCCACCAAATGACCTGCACACACCTGAACAAGAGAAGAAAAAGCGGAATGTGTGAAACAAGACCACTTGGATCCGGCTTCCAGCTATTTTGACCTGTCAATGGATTTTTTGCCAAAGCGACTCTTTGTCTGGATGAGACAAGTGGCTGTGGGCCCTACCCGTTGAATTGAAGGGTTGCAAACTCATGACTGTGAAGCGGGGTATCGGTATCTGCTGCAAGGCTCAGACAAAAAATCGACCTTATATATGACCTTATTCTAAGCAGTGAGAAGGAGTGGCTGTTATAACAATCAAGGCTCTTGAGCACGCGAGACTACCAAATTCCCAGTGGAGGTGTGGTGATCGCTAGTGTGAGACTCGGAATTCTGGGCCCCGTGCCCGGCCAAGAAGTTTCCCACGCAGGTCCGCAGCGTCGCCGCCCAAGTCTTTTAATGCAGCAGAGACCGCTGAAATTGATGGCCTCAGCAGTGGATTGAAATTGCCACTCTACTGTCGCTGAAATTGTCTTGGAGTATCGTGGAAAGTGGAGCTGAAAAACACCTGGTTTCTACACACCAGTATGTAAACTGGCTGGGGGTTGTGAGGCTCAAGACCACTCACTGGAGCGAAGGCAACACAACGGCAACAAGTACTGGGTGTCCCGGAAGTGATGTTGAACGCGACTCTATGCGCCCACGTGTAGGAACAAAAAGCAACGGCTGCTTAAAGAACGCAAAAAGCAACGGCAGCAGTGAGACTGCGTAGAATCCGTAGAACTGTCAGCAGCCAAAGCTGCCCTGCGGGCGTGCTCCCCCGGGTCTTCAAAAGTCGTGCTTCACCAATCGACCGGGACCCTCATCTTTCTGACTGTTCCAGAAACAAGACGGAGTTTTAGAGTTTCGGGAAACTCATAGACCCCTTCTGTTCAGTTCTGTTCACCGGTTTTGTTTGCATCTTTAAATCAAGATGTCGCCAACCCATACTGCAACGGATAATTATGCAAAGCCATCAAGGTTCTTTTCGATCCAACAAGTTTCCGCAGAGCTACTAAGAACTTTCGGTGGCAAAATCTGTTCTGTTTGGACCGCTACAATCCCGCTTGCCGCTTACCTACATAGATGGGGGTGCAATGGATCAAATGAAGTGTGGCATGTGAACCTTCCATGGAAGAAGCATTCCACCTGTGTGGGGGTAGGGATGGGTAGACCATGGGTCAAATTTTCATCACTGAGATTGTGCCCACCTTACGACTTTGTTGCCTCAAACGATCCGGGCGGACTTTAAAAGAATTCAATGTAAAGAATACATTGAAAGCCTGCAGTGGATTTAATCAACCTGTCTTTCGGGCTTTCAAGAGCTGCATCACATAGCACCTAAACACACACATGTAAAAATGCCTACAGCCTTGCAGCATCAACAACGAAATGGAACACCATGGGGCACCTGCTACCAGCATAACTGCATGACTTCCCTCTTTGGGGTACTCTCCGATCTTATTAGATCCTACATCTTCCAACTGCCAAACATTTATGGTAGTTTTGGTCATCGACCCAGTTTTGAGCACAAATGGCAGCATACGGCAGTAAATAAATGCAAACTGTAAAACGTCCGCATATTACCACAAAACACACCAAAACCAACGCACATGACAACAAAGAAACTGCAAACACACCATCACAACGATAAAAAATGACGACGAAAACACAGACGCATGAGTACTAGGAGCAAGAAGCTACTAGTACTAGTAACAAAGGACATCGCTACTAGGAGCAAGGACGCTACTTGGGGCTCCTGGCCTTACTAGTAACAAGGACCCTACTACTGGTATCTTCAACGCATCGAGCGGCATGAGCATCTCCACCTCTGCAAGCGGAGCAGTCGCAAGGCTCTCGAGGAACCTTGACCCCACGGCGGCTGCCTCTTTGGGTATCGAGGACTCTGGCGGGAGCCTCACGAAGTGATGAAGTGACTTCAGTCGGAAAGGAGGTCTTTCGAGAGAAACAACTGTTAAAGTATTGAAGAGACAATCAAAACATGAGGAAAAAACAAAGGAATAAAATAATCAAGGTGGATTTGGGCCCCTTGAACGTTTGCTGTGCAGAGAAACGGGTTGTGGGTACCCAATGGTAGTTCCCCCACACATGCTGATTATGCTGCTTGCCATCATAGCATCCTTCTCGAAAATGGGTAGATGGCGATCTTTGGACTGCGCTGCTCTGGATGATGAGGCAAAGGTGTAATGATGAGTAATGCACAATGTGGGATGTGCATAAAATGATGAGTCATGAGTCATGAGTGATTCTACACAATGATATGTATGGATCCGTTTGTGTTTGCTTCAAAATGGTGCAGCGAAGCAATCGAGTTCATTCCTAGGAGCCTCTTGCAAATCCGCGATAAAGCACCAAGCTCTTTGGCCAGCGAGCCCACTTGTCCGGCAGAAATTTCGTCCCGGATAGTGCTGATCAACTCGCTTGCCTCGGGAGCCGGGGCGACGAGAACTAGGGCCCTCCAAAGCACAGTGTAGGACTTGACAGGAACCGAAACATTGCGCTCATTTTGGTAGCAAATTGCTCAAAATATACCGTTTTCTGGATATGATCGAACTGGTCAAGTCACATGACCCCGTCCGCTATTAAAGGCTGCTACAAAGTTGGAGACACTTACCTAATACTGGATGGAACCAAACGCCGCAGGTTCACAAAATGCTTAGCAATGCGCACGAATGATGCGAACGGCTTAAGCCTGTGCATCTTCTTTGATCTCATCCAAGTGGCTGTCTCGGTCCTCTTTTCCCGCATAGCCTCCACCAAGGGCCTTCCTGGGATCGAACACGCCACGCGAACCTCATCCGCAGATTCGGCAAACTTCTGCAGTAAGAGCTCCTTCTTTTCATTCTCCACCTGAGGCTGCAAGGTCATTTTTTTCAAGCCACATCAGCCCGCAGCGAGAGGACGACAGGAAAATCTTCCTTGACATAGAGTTCACCCATGCTGATTTCGTGCCTTAGATCGCCTGCCCAAGTGCGCCTACGGATATCCAAGTACTTGGACCAAAAAAAATAGAAGAGATGAGGTCCCACCCTGGCTTCTCCTGCACTTGCCTCTGCTGAGATGGTCTCTACAAAGGATTTCAGCAAGCGCTCGTCCGTAGCAGACATGACTCGCAACAGCTGGGTGCGCACCTGAGTCTTTCTAATTTGTGGTCAGGGTGGCTGCTGATCGGGGCAGTTTGCTTGTGGTTGCTTCACACGGAATTCTAATCAATGCTATGTTTGGTTATGTATGGCTGTCTGCAGTATTGCTGTAGTATGTACACATCGCTTCGCAACATTTTATATACATTGCTTTATTGCACGAAGTGTGCGCCACACTGCAAGTATGTCGGGGCACACTGGTATCAGCTCCACAGCAAGAGATGACCAAAAATCCATATGTATTATATAAATCATCCCATGTAACCCACCTTGCTGTCACTGCCGTCCGAGATGGCCACCACGGCCTCATATGGGATATATTTGGGTGACCAGTGCTCAGACTCATCAGTGATTGTCGATCGTGGGAGACCCAATGCAAGAAAATCAAATGAAGATCATGAACATGGAGGAAGGTGAGGTGGCAAGGTGACCAACCTCTGGACCATCTATATACTACATCGCTGTCCTATCTTGTTATCTGCCGCATCTGTCCATTCACTGTACATCACACTCCCCACCAAACCGATGCCTTCAAGCTGTCTAGGAGAATGTGAGGCTTCATGCCTTCCGTCTTTCCGAGCTCACCTGTTGGCTGAGACAAGCAACAGCAGGAGACTAATAGTAAGAATGCGACATCATCAGAATCATCATCTTCCTCTTCATCTAGAAGAAGAACTATGTTGCCTTGGGTTTCAGACCAATTGCCTCTCATAGCCTCCCTACAGATAGTCCCAACACTGACACTTTCCCAACCAGTTCAGTCACGGTCTTTGTGAATGCTTCCATCGTCCTCCCTGCCTTCGGCTTGGCTCAAATAGCGCACCGACGCGTCTGAGGTTAGGCGTGGCCGGAGGGGCTCCGATCCATCAATGGTGCTTCGCCGTGAGTCGTACTCCTAAGGGCCGATGTGGACGCACCTTGCGCAAAGGCATCCCAAGTTATATGGTCTAGTCTAGTGAAACTGTTGGTTTTAGATGGTTTGGGGTATCGGACATCTCGGCCAGCTGCCTCAGCTGCCTCCGGCTCCGCCTCTGATGTGCCCCAATACAAGGGCTCCATTCCCATGCAACTGCAAGGCAGGAACTTCTCTAGCGTTCCGGTTCCCCAACTGGTCCTGCGCAAACTGCAGGAAGCTGGTGATCTGCTCCACTGGACAGCTCGAGATGGTGTCCTTACGACTTTTGCTGGTCGTGACTCAGAGAATTGGAGGATGGGAATAGATCGATTAATCAAAAGTAGACAACGAATTTCAACTGTGAGGTTGTGCTAAATTTGTCTCAATTGGTTTCAACATCTTTCAACTTTTTCCTGTGTGGAGACACAAAGAGGACACCAAGGGTCAATGATGAACTTCTCGAGGCCAGAGCAGCTGTTCTTCAGCCGTTCGTACAACTCCTGCTCGCTTGGACATTGGCCAGTGCAGTGGCCGGCAAACAGCGGAAAGCCAAAAACCAGGAATCTCTGCAAATGTCCGTCCATAGTCTACTTCAAACCCAATCGTGTCAGGAGTTGTTTTACCTGCACGCTGACCACTGCACATCCAGTTGCAATTCATGAGTCTAGACGGTCTAGTTAATAAAGCCCCTATATATCCGAAAAAATACTCTTTAATGTACACAAAGGTAGTCCGGCCAAGAAATGCTTGCATCAAATGCAACCATGCCTGGCAAAGCTAGTGCAAGTTCAAGAAATTGGTTGGTCACGACCCGCAAATGAAACACGTCAAACCGCTCAGAACTGAACAGCTGCTTATACAAATGCAGCTTTTTGATACAAACAGTTTGAGAGGAGAGATTGGAGAGAGCCTCGCGAACTGTTGCCACAACCACCTCCACCCAGCTCGTCCAAATGTTCCTGTGGTGTGCTTTCCTGTGCCATATTTTGCATAGAAATAGATGGTACAATCCTGTTTCGAGCGGTTTGGAGGCAAACGCCCCTCCCAAAGTTGGACATCTTCAGGACCAGCGGGTAAGTAATTCCATTCATGACAGGGTTTACCCGCTGGTTCTGGATTCAATGATTTGCAATGCAAATTGGACCCGGTGAGTGTTTCAACGTAAAGACTCGGCTCTCCTCAGAGTCTGATTTGCTGGCCACAGGCCACGCCATCTTCAATGATTCCAAGGCCTGAATGGTCGTTGCCAAACCTCGAAGCTGGACTTGCGGGGCCGCGAGATCACCAGTGTTCTTGCGGGGCCACGAGATCCCCGACCTATGTGGTACCTGATCAGCCTGAAGGGCATGATCCTGCTGCTACAGAGCTTGAGCTAGCGCTTTTTGCCTACAATTTTTTGATTCTCAACGTGGGGTGTAAGTGATGCCAGAGATAGTTTCGGAATCACTTGCGTCATTCAAAGGGGTTTGGATGACTATTTAGACATATGTCGGGCAGTTGGAAAAAAGGGCTCCGGAATGCTCCAGAAGCAGAAGCAAGGTGCCGAGAACGGGATGTCAAAATGTAAGTGATTCAGATTATGTATATATTCAATACTTTCTCACACTTTATTGGGATTTTATCCTGACGTTCTGGCGATGTTATCCTGATTGTGCGTTCTGTGCACCAAACGCACAGCTTCCATCCCAAGAAACAAAAGATTCTGAAGGCTGCGCAGCTGCACGGTTTTGCTGCCACGTACGCAATGGACTACAGTAGGTCATACTATCATACTACGTCACCATGTCTTGGTGCTCCAGACTCCAACCTGTAGAATGTATATAGGAAACGTCCAACCGTGGTTGTTCGTGGCCTGGACTACATTCACTGTTTCGAATGCGCGTGTCTTCAAGACTATGCAACAACATGGAATCGACCAAACATATTCGTATCATAATGAAATAGAGTTCAGTCATGTTCAGTAATGGGTTGTAACTTGCAAACAGGACATGTTAGTCCCTTAAGCGATTTAGTCATTGCTTACTTGCAGGAATGCTATGTTATTCATCCTACACTGGAAAAATAGGCCGGTCATACAAGCCAACACACTAGGATCTCAGAATCTCCGACACCAGAACATCGCATTTGGTGGACACACCCGGCCCCATGCATCAATTTCTCATTGCCGGCAGGCTCAAATTCGTGGACTCATCGTCATCCTGGGTACAGTAGAATTTGCAACCAAAACAGCTCGGATCAACTGTGAATCTGACCGAAATCATTGAGCATCCCACAAACAGGCTTCTGAGGCCTTGCAACATGAGGTAAGAAACACAAAACAAACCCTCTTGGCCTCTTGGCCAATGTGCGGAGGGTTGCTGATCATCGGCTGATGGAATTCGGATGCCATGACACCATGAAATTAGCCATTTGAGAATCTTAAGACTTGAGTGCTTCAAAAGCCTTTGCGAAATGCTGAGAAATTAGGAGAGCTTTCTTGCTCATCTGCTTGCATAGTCATCCATTCAATTACGCACATATTTGTGTGCTATAACCTGAGCGCTCATTCTGTTGGGCAGGCGCCGACGGCTGGCTGGCAATTGATGTTTCATCACTTTCCGTTTCCTTCTGAAGCAGGTTGCAAGTTGACTCCAAAGGTAGTTCCTAATTATGTATCTTGTGACAGCCTCTGAGCCACTCAACCTACCAGGCATTACCGGGCACCATCTATCCGTTACGTGCGAGAGACTGTCCTCACCAAAAACATGTATGGTGGTAGCCACTAGTAGCCACACATCTCTTGGCCGAGACATGCCAAGGCACCGCGCTCTTGGCCACCTCCGCATCCACCACGTCCAGTGCTTTGGCCACCTGGATTTTTGCCTCTCCAGACTCCAAAGCCTCTCCCAAGGGACGCCCTGAGGCAGCTGGCAACCTGAAGATTGACAGCGCTTCAGCACAGCTGAAAATGCAAATTCCGCATGATACACCTACAGTAAAGCAATTGGGACAAGACTCGATCATCTTCTATACAGTGTTATAATAATGCATCATATAATACTATAATGTTATATGTATATACACGTTCACATTCGTTTCCTATGTTTCAATGTTTTTCGAGGCATCTGCTGACCTTCACTCATTGCACTCTGAGCCTTTTTCCCAAGCTCAGCTCCTTCACCCATACTGATCGACGCCATGTGACCCCTCGAACTTCGCCCGGAGCTCGTCGAACTGTACTGCGAAGCCACGGATCTCCTCGGCGCTCTCGCTGTGTCCGGCCTTTGCGGCCGCCAGGAAGGCCTGCAAGGCGTTGAAAACGAGGATCTTAGTAGCGATGCCAGGAGCCCCTAGTAGCTTCTTTGCTCCTAGTAGTAAGGCCAGGAGCCCCTAGTAGCGTCCTTGCTCCTAGATGGTTGGCCGCGGAGGTCGCTAGGCAGCGAGGGAGTAGCTAGTAGTTTACTAAAGCTACTAGGAACAGGACGCAGGATAGCTCGCGCACTAATGATTTGGTTTCTACATCTTTAGGGAAACTTAAGTTTATGCATCCATGCATCTATCAAGATGCTTTCAGCAACTCATGCACGATCATACCAACCATATCGAAAGCAGAATTTGAATACAAGTGAATACAATACATTGTCACAACTTTTGTCACATTCTTGTCCTAGTAGGAAGTAATATAATGGGCTTGGAATCGAATCCGCATACTTGCTACTTTTCGAAGTCCTGTCCAATTTGCTGATTCGTTGGCTCAGTGCTAAGAAAAGCTGCCTATTCACACCTCCCACCCTGTCTCTTTCTGACTCTCACACCTGACCTCTGGAGCATCTCAAAAATAGAAAAGAAGAGATAAACAAAAGGAAGATAAGGGCACGTTACTAGGGCCACTGTTCTTCCTTTCCTTTTGAACTGTGTCTCCTCTGGTTTTCTCTGCCCACCTCTTGCGCGTAACTCTGCATCTTGCTGAACAACCCGACAATCTCAAGAGAATGGCTGCCTGTGGCTTCCAGCAAATTCCCAGTGCTGACGGGGGAATCCAGGCGCTGGGCCCTTTTCTTTAAAAGTATACAGTTTGCAGGATCATGCCAACACGTCTTGACCTGGACCGAGGTTGTAACCGATTGCGGTCTAGCGAGGATCCTCCAATGCATCGGACAAGTTGCTCTTGAGATGGGGCCACCAAGGCAAGAGCTCTTGCAAACAATTGTAAGCTTCTCCACCTGATGCTAGCCGAATGAATGCGCACGCAGAATCCTTGGAAAAAATGTTGTTCCGACTCCATTTCACCTAAATGCAAAAAAAACAGTTTGAAGCCAAACCCGCCCCAACGAATAGCAAGAATATACAAGAATGATAGCGCCTTCATCTGCTTCCAAGTGCTTCTGTGCCTTCGAAACCAACTGGCCACAAGCTTCAGTGGCTTTCCGTAGGCGCACTCGCTCCTGACACCGATTTGCAGCTGTGCAGGATTTGGTCAAATCACAGGATGCGTGGGGTGACGCGCACATCGACTTTGGAACTCATGTCTTTGCTGCTTGGCCGAAATCCGGAAAAAAACAACGCTAAAGCCCGCTTTCCTATTGAAAGAAATCTTGCTAGATGTCAAGAAGGAGCTACCAGTACAAGTACTACATGTCATCACTCGCAAATTGCACTGTTTCTTGAGCCAAGCTTCAGCTTGGGGAGTGATAGGTGGATCCCATGTGGCACCCAACAAAGCCACCAGGTCTTGGGCCAAGGCATCCACGCGCTTCGAAAGCCTAGGACGTGTGGGTTGCTCGATATTGATCCCATCACCCGTGACACCATATTGACTTGGACTTGCCAAAGGCGCCACCGATTTGTGGATGATGATACATATACATATACATATACATATACATATACATATACATATACACATACACATATACATATACATATACATATATATATATACATATACACATATACATATATACATATATACATATATACATATACATATATATATATATATACATATATATGTACATATATATATATATATGTACGTGTATATATATACAATATCGTGTGAAACGATCACCTCAAAGGTCCTGGGCCAAGCATGTTCCAGCTAGCACTACCTTCCACACTGTTCCAAACCTGCCACACCCTAATCACAGCAATAAAATTGTTTGCTCAATCCGTTCCAATGTGCAATCCGAAGCCTAACCGATAATCAGTGAACCACGGTTAGTCCTTTTAAGCCCCAAACGGAAGGGTTGAGGCCCAGACCCAGCAAACCCCGAACAGACGAAGGGTTGAGGTGCAAGACCTCTTCTTCAGGGTACCCCCGAACAGGAAAGGTTGAGGTCCAAGACCTCTTCTTCGGGCCGGGATTGGATCTGGTACCCAGCAAACCCCAAACAGGAAGGGTTGAGGCCCAAGACCTCTACTTTGGGGTGGATCGGGCACCGCAGCAAGCCCCACACACAGGAAGGGTAAAAGACCTCTTCTCAGGGGCTTGGATCTGGCCATCCCAATCGGGGCTTGGCTCCAGGATTGAGCCCATCTTCGGGACTGGATTGGCTTACCCGAAGCATGGTGTGAACTGTGAAGCTTCCTTGAGTCTACAGTATATAATTCCTTGAGTACACAGCTGAGCGGAAACCTCTGGAAAGCCTCCAAAGGACTTCAAATCCTTATATTCCACAAGCATCCACAAACATTAGTCCGTAAATCCGTAATCCGCAATCCGGGTATTGGGGATTAAGTTGGAACTATGTTGGCCAACCGAATAACATGAAAGAACTCCAACAGACTCTTCGCACCGTCCCTCACTTGCTGTCTTGGAGCTCCACGACTTGGTCGGAGGCCTGGGCATTGGACCAGAAGGCCTCCGATTCGAGGATCCACACCGAGTGCGGCACCAGCCTCGGCTCGGCCCAGGTGGATCTTGGCTAACGACAGGGGCGTGTGCCCAGAGTGAGGAAGATTCTGATATGTTCTGGTATTTAGTTGTTTATTCATTCATTGATTTAAAAGGGAAGCAGCAGCAGGTGTTGGTTATGACATGCAATAACAAGCCCCTTTGAGAGAAACCTGACCAAACTCAGTAGACAAAGGAGCCAGGTCGTCTTTAAACCATGATGTGTTTCGAACAGCTTTCCTAGACTCTCCTAGCTTCACCCAGCTTCTTGGGGTGTGCAGTATGAAGGGACTTTGTTGAAGCTATCTCCAACGCGCACTCAATGATTCAAAGATCCATCAACGTTCAAAAGGGAATCTCTCGATCTGCCCGTACCCGACAGGAACTCAGGGATCATCGCCGCCCACGCAGCAGACCCATAGAGCCAACTCTCACTCCGAGACACTCTTCAAGAAGCGCTTTGGCCACCTGGGTTGCGCAACTGTTCCATTAACTATATAAACAAAAAGTTCAGAACCTGAGA